GTGATCAACGTACGAGCAAATTTCTCGTTTGTATACACATTGATTTGACGTTCTTGAGACATGAAGTCGCGTCGCATACCAGCAATGATTACGTGAGCCTGACTATAACACATGAAAAGCGGACATTCTCAGTAATAGGAGGATACATACACTCAAGCGCACAGATGAACTGCTTCGACCTGGGGACCATTCTCCAAGCAGCACAAAGGCCACACATTGTGATCGGTGATTTTAATGCACATCATCCTCTCTGGGGTAGCACTACAACAAATTATCGCGGAAGGGATTTGGCCAACTTTATATGCAACTATAGACTAAGCGTACTGAACGACGGAACACCTACATTTGTTCGTGGCACCTCCTACAGCAGCTGCCTCGTTCTCTGTTTCGTTTCCAGAAGCCTTCTGTCTTCCGCATGTTGGTGCGCAGATTTGGACACTCGTGGCAGTGACCACCTTCCACCCTATGTTCAGTTCAGGTGGTTTCGCCGCACGCACACACGCTACATCCGTCAAACCGACTGGGCACCGTTCAAATCATCTGTCAAGTCTGGCTGTGAGCACACGACTGATCCAACCGAGGTATAGAACATCATTGCTTCTTCACTGCGTGACACAACCAAACAGGTTAACCTACTGATGCAGAGATCAGCAGTTGACTCCCAATACGAGGACCTTCGTGCATTCCGTCACCATGCCGAACGCCGATACAGACAAATTAAGTCTCCTTCAGACCTTTCCGCCTGTCGTCGAGCTCAACGACATGTTCTTCGGCATCTTGACAAGATTGACAGGCAACGTTGGAGAAATTTCTGTGGATCTCTGGACCCCAGCCAACCTCTATTTAAGATCTGATGGGTGGTACGAAGTTTGCAAACAACTCCCCAACAACGTTAACCATTTCAAGCTGTTTCTCTACGTCAGGGACGGACAGAAGCTGAGATAGCCAGTGAATACTGTAGCCTCATCGTGGACACCACTGATGGTCTTGCCACTAATGAGCCTCTTACTACCGTTGCGCCTCCATCGTCTGACGAGCGCCTTGATGTACGTTTTACAATGCATGAGCTTGACGCTGCGATTTCTGCCTCCCGCCGATCATCGGCACTAGGACCTGACAGAATCACGTATGCTGCACTCAACCATCTTGGTACAAAAGCACGACGTATCCTGTTATCTCATTATTACACCTCATGGGAGTCAGGAGAAGTCCCAGCTCATTGGAAATGCAGTCACATTATTGCATTGCTTAGGCCGGGGAAGTGTCCTTATGCACTTTCTTCCTACAGACCAATCGCCTTAGCCAGCTGCGTCAGAAAAGTGATGGAAAGAATGGTACTGTCAAGATTAGAGTGGCTTCTAGAGAGCAACAACTCCTTCCCTGCATTTGTGAACGGCTTCAGAAGAGGCTGATCTGCCATTGATGGGTGTGGTCGACTTGATCACCAGCGTTGAAGAGGAAAGAAGCCGACGCAGACTAGTGGCGGCGGTCTTCTTAGACATTAAGGGCGCCTACGATAATGTGCTGCATTATGCGATCCTTGACGCACTGGAAGATGTAGACATCGGTGGACGACTGTACGCTTGGACTTTTAGCTACCTTAGGGACCGCACTAATTACATGACGACAAATGACGGAGACACCGATCGATATAAGGTTCATCGTGGTGTTCCCCAAGGAGGAGTTTTCAGCCCGATCCTATTCAATGTCACAATGATCGGCTTAGCAGCAGAACTTCTCAGCACGGTGAAGATCAGTGCATACGCTGATGACATATGCACATGGGCATCCGGAACTACTCGTCTGCAATTACGAGCTCGACTACAGCGTGCAGTGACGATCACATACAAATATCTACGACGTCAGAAACTCACTCTTTCAATCGACAAATGCACAGTACTTGCGTTCACGCGCAAGCATATGTCGAAATACCCGATAGTTATTAATGGGACAGCCATACCTGCTGTAACGCACCACAAGTGACTTGGGGTTGTCGTACAGAGAGATCTATCGTGGACGAGGCATGTCGCAGTACTTAAATCTAAATTGAAGAGATTTGCTCTCATTCTTCGCCACGTAGCAGGAAGAAGATGGGGCCCGTCAGAATCGTCGCTACTTCAATTGTACAATGCTCTATTTGTGGGATACATTCGATACAGCATGCCGGTGCTCTCCAATATGAGACCTAATTGTGTGAAGACGTTAGAGAGTGTTCAAGCTCAATGCTTACGATGATGCGTGGGTCTACCGCACTGTATTTTAACAAGTGGGACAATCGCAGAGGTTCGGGCTTGTCCCATCAGTGTATACATGCTCTGCGAGCCACTTAGAGTTCACCTCCGATTGCTGAGCAGACACAGACAGCACCCACTGTCAGTACTATCCGCCACTCACCCAGATTGCAATTTTTCAAGAGTAATATCGCGGCATGAAAATATTATACAATCAAGGTTTTCTCCGCCAAATGCCCCTGCAGTGCCTCCGTGGGTCCTGCCTAAACCACCTGTTTCTTTTACAATACCTGGAATCACAAAAAAGTCGCTCATTTCTTCTGTTGGCCTCAGACAACTGACCCTATATCACATTTATAAAACGTACAGTGATTCTCTGCAGGTGTACACCGACGGATCCACAACGCTAAACACCTCCACCGCAGCCTTTGTCAGCCCAGACATGGATATCGCTCGACGATTCAAAGTGGTCCATAAAACCACATCAACTGCCACAGAGCTTGTCGCTATCCGGGAGGCAATAAGATTTATTTCCGGAGAGCGACCTCGAGCGTGGACGATTTTCTGTGATGCCAAACCCGCTTTGCAAACCATTAATTGCATCATGAAGCAAGGTCCGTATTACAGCTTGGCAATAGAAATCACAGAACGTATTCAGGTTGCTTCAACGAATGGTCATCTTATAACTTTCCAGTGGATTTCCACTCATTGCGGCGTGATGCGAAACGAAGAGGCAGACGCTGAAGCTAAAATGCCTTAAGCAGTGCCCCTGAAGTACGCATTGCGTTCTCACGAGCTGACACGAACGCCCTGCTTCGCTGCGTGATGCGCAGCTACACACTTCAGCACTAGACCAAACCGGAACGGCGACACCAGCAACTTCACAAATGAGACCCGGAAATGAGGTTCCGCATGCCCCCTAAATTGAAACGGCAACTCACAAGTATGATCTACCGCATTCGTCTTGGTGTAGCGTACACCAGACGTTACGCACATATCATCGGTCGCAGTGACACCGGTCCTAATTGTGAACACTGTGATGTGCCAGAAACACTTGAGCACATATTTTGTGTCTGCCCAGCATACGCACGTGAACGACAAACACTGATTTCTTCTACTGAACTATATCGCAATAGGTCATCAACTATTGAGACCATGTTGGGCCCTTGGCCAGACACCAACAGTGCAACTGCGGTCACAAGAGCAGTTATAACCTTTTTGGAAACAACTGGACTATGTGCGCGGCTATGAAATGTGCCTTAGCTAGGCAGAACACTACATACTCACTTCTCTATCTCACCATCGTCATCCATTATTCTTTCTTTTCCCCTTTCCCTTCCCCCAGTGTAGAGTAGCAGGCTAGAGCAAGCTATCGCTCAGGCCGACCTCTCTGCCTTTCTGCCCCGCCGCGGTGGTCTAGTGGCTAAGGTACTCGGCTGCTGACCCGCAGGTCGCGGGTTCGATTCCCGGCTGTGGCGGCTGCATTTCCGATGGAGGCGGAAATGTTGTAGGCCCGTGTACTCAGATTTGGGTGCACGTTAAAGAACCCCAGGTGGTCAAAATTTCCGGAGCCCTCCACTATGGCGTCTCTCATAATCAAATGGTGGTTTTGGGACGTTAAACCCCACAAATAAATAATAAATCTCTGCCTTTTTGTAAATAAACTTACCTCCTTCCTTCCTTTCGGTTCTGAAACGTCGGGTTTCTTAACAAACTATTGGTTGGAACCTAAATCATTTCCCATTTTTCATACCCAACCACACAGACATTTGTGGAATGCTTATATTCGAGTTGAACGGTGTCCTCGGGTAGCCGTGTGACAGGGGCCTAGCCTAGGTTATGACCTCGCCTTAAAGCTCCTCTTGGAGTAAAGTTCATGCGTTTCAGATGTGAAAAGAGTGAAAGCAGGCATCGAGGCTACACCGCGACTGAGACATAGGGCACAGTATGGCAGCAGAATTCGTCGCAATTGCGTTTTTGCATTGGTATCGCTTTGCTATATTGTTAAGTTTCTTAAATTGGCTTCACCGCATGTAAATCGCTCACTGGGAATATAGCATGTTGTTGCGATTAGTGACAGCTCCATTTAATGTTCTCCAAACTCGGTGATACGTCGAGGGGTGCGCGGACATTATGCACAACTTCATATATATTTTAATTATACCTCTAAGTTAACACAAGCTGAATAGGTTTGAGTCGCCGAAGTATACTGATTAATTATTTTAGTACGCACTAGCCCATAACAATGTGCTCCGAGCCCACATTTATTGCGCATTAACCTTTCTCAGTACTAGCAGAAGATATGTGCGTGACACATACGAGATGTTGCGCATATCCGCTGTGGAAGTGGTAGCAATGCTGTGATTTTTAAGACTGTTTGCCGAGTTTCCTCAGTGTGTCACTTATAGCGCAATACCCAAAACATGAAAAAGGACCGAGGAGTTTGCGCTTCTCTTTCGTTTTTCTCGCTTGGAGCATTGAAACAGAATACTGAGAAAACCTAGGTGCCCAGGTACACGTTCTCCTAATTACAACGACTGTTTTGTGGTCTTTACCGCACAATGGTGTTGTATTGACTGGTGTATTGTTTTAACCACTAGCGCGAAAAACTACGCGTTCGAAGAGACAGGGACACACACCACAACATTATTGTGCGCATGTCTGTTACCGAACCAGTTATCTGCATTTTTAGTTTGAGCAATGGTGGGCCGACGAGCCCGGGCTCTTGATCGACGCAGTATGAACAGGGAAGTCTACAATTGCTCTCACCTTTCCAGACGAGCAGCCTCGAGCTGACGGTGGAGAGCAGCGTGAGCGTAGTTAGGTCTCCCAGTGACGCCGCTATGGGGGCTGCCACGTTGTCCGGATTCAGGCCGCAACGCCGCGCCACCAGCACCACTGTCGTCATAAAAGCGCCTGCAACACACGACAGCCATCATGCAGGAAAAAAAGTCAGTGCAGCCACGTCAACGTCATGTCACAACAATCAGTTTGGCAGACTACTCCGAAACTCGTGCACTGCTTCACTTCACGTCTGCGTTCTGAAAGAAAGACGTCTGTGGATGCTGTGCTAAGGTGGTGGTCGTTTAGCACTCGACGCTGTGATTTGAGGCGCTATGTTTAAAGTGGCGTTGTTTGTTACCGATATCTCATTTGGTAATATGTACTACGAACAAGCGAGTGATGAGAACAATATACACGTAGCGGTTGAGTTACTTCTCTCTCGACGCCCCGCCACGGTGCTCTAGTGGCTAAGGTACTCGGCTGCTGACCCGCAGGTCGCGGGATCAAATCCCGGCTGTGGCGGTTGCATTTCAGATGGAGGCGGAAATGTTGTAGGCCCGTGCGCTCAGACTTGGGTGCACGTTAAGAACCCCAGGTGGTCGAAATTTTCGGAGCCTTCCTCTACGGCGTCTCTCATATGCATATGGTGGTTTTCGGACGTTAAACCCCACAAATCAATCAATCAACTTCTTTCTCTACTGGAGCACCGCGGAGCACTTCCGGTCAGTGCTCGCTCTCTCTGGTTGAAAAAAAAATTACGGCATATTCACGGGGTGAATGATGATGAATGGGCAAAGCTCCGGAGGGATTCATCGGTAAACTGTGAATCTTCTGTGTAATTCGCCCAGTCGATCATCATGTAAAGACGTGAGAAACGCTGTGTGTGTATATACACAAATCAACTTTTATTTGTTCTTAGACGATGGATGGCTTGCGATGTCCCTTCATTATGACGGCTTTATGGTCTGTGAAATGAAGGGAGAGCGGTTCCTGTATGGGTTGCAGTGGGCAATTTGCAAATACTAGGTCTATGCATGTTCCTCGGATCGTGGTAGGTTTCATATGGTCAAACGATATACGTCTGAGTGCATATCTAGAAGCCATATGTTTGATAAGCCAATTATTGTCTATGATAGCCACGTTAAAGTCTCCAAGTAGTACAAATGGTCCATTCTTGTATTTGTTCTCATAATTTCGTAACGCAGTGTCTATGAATCTTTCATCAACTACAAGTACCGCTTTCTAGTTTATAACATCTTGCATCTTTTCTTTATCAGCTACAAGTACCACCATCTAGTAAACACTACAAGAACTAAACGAGAGGTGGCTACATACAGGAGACGGTACCGCCATCTAGTGAACACTGCAAGAACTAAACTAGAGGTGGCTACATACAGGGGACGGTACCGCCATCTAGTGAACACTGCAAGAACTAAACTAGAGGTGGCTACATACAGGCTACAGGGGACGCACAGCCCACGCCCTAAGGAGCTTCGCCCCTAATATCTGAAAGCTTCCTGACTAGCAAATGCCGAAACGAGACGATCAGTGCTCTCAGCCATTTTTATGGGGAATTTCCGAAGCACAACGCGGGCGCTTGAACACTTCTCCTTAGGGGCCGTTACGGTTTGCGTAACTGTCTAAAACGCGTCAGGCTTTTGAAGCTTACGGCGGAGCTCCTTTGAAACTTTTGCCCACTCACTGCATGACGTGTCTCGAAGACGTTCGTGTGTACTAGTTGAGGCGAGCTTGCAGTTGAATTTTTCTGCAGTCTTTTATGTTCCTACGTGTGTGCCGTAGTCGCGTCGGCGTTTCTGCAGTGAGCGAATAGTGTAGTGGTCTCGAATATCTGCTGCTAGCTATTTCACTTCGTCGTATGTTTTGGCCGCGCGTACACGATTGTAAGCGATATGATAAAGCTACAAGCCTTGCATGTCGACAGAAGGCTGTAGCATGGCTGAGTCACTCCGACGTCACCAACCATTCGTTAAAATCACGTGACCTGTTACGTCACCATTCTTGCCTATATCTACTTCGTTTCATCGACAACAAACGTTGTTGATCACCCGACTGCAGGCCCGCTTATATGGTGGCAGCGGTGCCTAGCGGAAATGGCTGCGCCGCCAGCGAATTTGCTGTCAACAATCTTGCCGCCGCCAAAGCCGCTGGACACATCGGGCAACACCTGGCTTGCATGGAAAACTTGTAAGAGTGAGTTCACGCTATTTTCCACTGCTACCAAGTTGACAAAACAAGCGAAATAAGTGCAAGCAGGCACGTTGCTGGTGATTATTGGCGAAGAGGCAAGGATGGTATACAGCACCTACATGTTTGAGGCTGAATAGGACAAAAATAACGTAGACGTCTTAATTGCCAAGTTTGAAGAGTTCTACAAGCCAGAAACGAACTTGACCTATCATGAATTTCTATTTGAGTCCAGAAACCAAAGGGAAGGTGAACCTTTCAATGAGTGGCTGACGGAGCTACGAATGTTAGCCACAAACTGTGAAATTTGGGGTAATGGAAGGCCGGATGCTGCGCAGTCGTATTATTCTGGGTATTCGTGACAAAAACCTGCAGCAGAAACTGATTGCGGAAAACCCTTCATTCAAGAAGACTATCGATATCTGTCGCACGCAAGAGCAAAGGAAACAGCAGTTTCGTGAAATCAGTGAAGCCGTGGAGACAGCGCAGGACACGGCAGTCAAGGCAGTCGCAAAGAAAGGGGATGCCTGCGGCAGGTGCGGCTATCGCGCACACCGCGGCGAAAGATGCCCCGCCACCGGTAGAACATGCAATAAGTGCGGAGGATTTAACCACTTTGCCCGAGCATGCAAATCGGCAACGCCTTCAGTGAACCGTTCCTTGCAAGAAGAAAAAACTACGGGAACTATGCGCAGAAGACGGCATTTTTTTTCTGCAAACATTAACGGTGAGCACGGTCAACACAGACCAGTGGAGCGCGACGGTGGACATTGAAGGCCAACCAATGACTTGCAAATTAGACACGGGGGCTAATTGTTGCGTCATTTCAAGGAGGGACGTTGCAAAGCTACCGGATCTACCAGAGGAGGCTTGCCGGGTCGCGCTAACAGCATTTTTCGGCCACAAGGCAACCGCCCAAGCAAAAGTGCACCTGCGGCTTTCAGCCAATAAGAGGGTGATCCACAAAACGTTCTCATTATAAAGCAAAGTGTACCAGCGACTCTGAGTGGTTCAGCAGTCGAACACCTTGAATTTATCCGCAGGGTACAGCACATTGATATCGATCAACTTTACCAGCCAGCCCAACCTTTCGCAGATATCTTCACAGGACTGGGTGAGCTCAAGGACTACGAGTACAAAATAAAACTCAAGCCCAGCGCCGTGGGTGTCGTCGTGCCAGCTCGAAGAGTCCCCATGGCCCTGGAGGACAAGACTAGAGCGGAACTTCAGCGTATGGAGGATCAGGGCGTCATAACAAAGGTAACTGAGCCTACAGAATAGTCCAGCCGTATGGTTACCGTTGTTAAAGGAGACAGTTCGAACTTGCCTAGATCCAACATCGCTCAATCAAGCCATACTCCGTGAAAACTATCGCATGCCAACGTTAGCGGATGTCGCTCCTAGGCTTGCCGGAGCAAGATTCTTTTCTACGCTTGATGCAGCTTCAGGGTTTTGCCAAATTTGGCTTAGCGAGTCAAGCTCCAAACTTTGCACCATGAGCACTCCATATGGTCGCTATCGGTTCCTTCGCATGCCGTTCGTAATAGCTGCGGCGCCAGAAATATTCCAAGCAGCAATACACCATGTTTTGGAAGGGTTGTCCTGTGTGGCAGTTGTGATGGATGACGTATTAGTATGGGGCAGAACTACAGAAGAGCACGACTGCAACTTAAAGCTTGTGTTATCCCGGTGTCAACAGCACAACCTCCGACTTGACCCCAAGAAGAGTGCGTTTCTGCAGCCAGAGGTCCGGTATCTGGGACACATACTCACTACAGAAGGCCTACGCCTTGATCCGGAGAGAGTACAAGACATACTTGGGATACCGGAATTGAAGAACAAGAAAGAACTGCAGGTATATCTTGGTACGATGAATTTCGTGCAGCAATTCATTCCCAACATGTCACAAGTAACCGCTCCGCTTCGAACACTGTTGCGTAAAGACATTGCATGGGTTTGGACTGAGGCGAAGCAAAAGAGTTTCGAGACCTTGCGTCAATCCTTGAAGAAAGCACCCGTTTTGGCTTCCTTCAACCCTAAAAAGCCTTTTATTCTCTCGGTTGACTCAAGCCAATTAGGAGTCGGCGCAGTTCACATGCAAGACGGCCGCCCCATCGCTTTTTCGTCCCGGTCACTCACAGAGGCGCAACAAAACTATGCACAAATTGAGAAGGAAATGTTGGCGATAGTGCATGGTTGCACGAAGTCCCATGACTATGTTTTTGGTCAGGCAGAAGTGATTGTAGAGACCGATCACAGGCCTTTAGTACCAATACTTAACAAGCCGCTGCATCAGTGTCCCCTTCGCTTGCAACGCATGAGGCTGACCTTGCAGCGCTATCCGATTAAGGTGGTTTATAAGCCAGGCAAAGATCTTTTTCTCGCTGATGCTTTGTCACGTTTTCCGAGCACAGTGAGCATGCGCGAGGAAACTGCGCAGTTTCATGTAAATGTGCTGGAATGTGTTTCAAATCAAATCAAACCATTTTATTTTCCCAGAAAGAAACAGGTTCTGGAGACGTTCACTGGCTAAAAGCTGTTTATGGACAGCTTGACGGGGCCAGTGAACCCTATACAAGGCAGGTGGGACAATGACAAAGATGTGTATAACAATAAAGACCATAAGCTAACATTACAATACCAAATACGGTGTAATAAAAGCATATATATACATTCCTACGAAACATCCTGATACCAGCATAGCACAGAAGATTACATGGACGCGAGCAAGAAGGAAAAAAAACAAAGAAAAAAACAAAAGAAAAATCCAGCAACCATAACACCATTATTGCCAAAAAATAAAATATTAAAAATAAATAAATGATGAAAATATCAGGGAAGATATATATAAATTTGCTCCTTGTGTATGTGCTGCATCATACAATGTACATCACATTTCAGACAAACAAAACTATACAGACCGAATT